CACACCAGCATGGAGTAGCTAGTATTGGGTTTGCCTTTTAGTTTGTGCCAGGGCCAGAAATAAATAGGTCTCATCACCACAGCTGGGGGATTTCTCTAATGTATGGCTCTTGGACCTCCTGAAGACCCCCTGTCAATCAGCGCTGGATTGGCCCTGCTCCTTGCAGGGATGTCTCTGGCCGTGTTAGAGTTCGCCCCTATGCTGGCATGTGTAGGAAAGCCCTGTGGGAGGTGAGAGCCCATTCTGTGGGAAGGTGTGAACTTGCCAGTAGCAAGAAGGGACGAGATGGGGATTGTGCAAAAAGAAGAGGCAGTAAGCAGAGCTCGGATGTTTATTAGGGGCAAGTTTTATTTTGAACTTATTACAAGGCTATAAACCACTTCCTTTGTGTAGGGGCTGTTTGTAGGTCAGGGCACTCTGCAGGGTGTCTTTCTGAAGTGTGGGCCACATCCTGCTCTGGGCTGGGCCTGGGGTTGAGGACTCTGCCTTTCCAGATGTGCTGTTGCCCTTCAAAAGGACCATTGTCTGCAGTGAGGCACTGCCGTCCCCGAGGCCGGCACGGGCTCTGCCTGGCACTGGCATGCCCTGGAGGAGAGAGATAGGCTCCGGGAGCTCGGGCACCTGCTGGCCAGCATGCCATGACCTCGCAGCCTCCTCCCGCAGCATCCTGCATCCCTCTGCCTCAGCATCCTTCTCGTCTCACAGGGACCCTCAGAGGCCCAGACCCAGGAGGCACAGGTCTGTCCAGGGAGGTTTGGCAGTGGGAGCTGAGGGCAGCTGGGTTTCATCAGGGACTGGAACATCTCTCATATGAGGAGAGGCTGAGAGAGCTGGAACAACGTGAGAACAGAAGGAGAATGGTAACGACCCCTGGGGCCTCTGCTAGGCCTCCGCTCCAGGAGAAACCACAAACATCTCCCAGGCAGCCTATCCTGAAGAAGACTCAGTCTCTGTGATAACATCCTTCTGTAAAGTCTTCCTCTTTTAATAGTTTCAGTTTTCATTTGCAACTCTCCTCTGCACCCAAACAAATCTCAAGCCTCAGTCTGGGTGAGGCTAAAATGATAAAAGGCAGCTCTGTTCCAGGAATAATAAGGGAAGCTTGAAGAGTGATTGGTTTATAGCTGCTCAAATTGCAGAAGCTTTCTGATGGCAGAGGGCCCCAGGATTTAACAGACTGGAAAAAAACAGTGTACAGTGCCTGGAAACAGAAACTTGCCATGCACTGGGTGTTCTGAGCAGTGAGGGCAGCTTGCTCTTGGACCAGCATGGCAAAAGCATACAGTTCCTGTGACATTTGCAGCTGCGGACTCCAAGCCAGCATCCTCTGAAAGGGGATCAGTGCTGCACAGGCATGGCTTTAGGAGGGAGACATACTCGCCTCCACAGGAGGTTTCTTAGCACTCCTTGGGGAATGGCATCACAGCTGACATTTTTGAAAGTTTTTTGAATTGTTTTATGCTGCTGGCACAAGCAAGCAACATCAGTGGCAACAGCCCTCTTTATTAGTATATGACTGATCTTTTCCTTCAGCTGGATATTTTAGGGCTTCTAGATGGAGGACAGAGCTATGTTGTTCAGGTCATTTTCCATCACACCTTCCCATCACCCCTGCCTGCTCCGCATAGCAAGCGAGACTGGAACGCACAAACCGCCAGCCCTGTGGCTTGCTCGTTGTAGGCAGTAGGCTGGAGAGAAAAAGCTGTGAAGTTCACGTGATCAAAGCTATCTCTGGTTTGTGTTAGCCACAACGCTATCTTTCTGCAGCCACAACATCTATCCTCGGCAATGCAACAAGGAGGGGTACAAAGCCACAGTCTTCATTTGTCATTTCCCCATGTACATGCTAGTACATGAGCTGCAAGCTAAGGGAACAGAAAACTCACACTTGTGGTCTCTACATAATTTATTTCCATGACAAAAAAACCATAATTTAGCTTTTCTCTGCAGCATTTCACACGAAAGCTGGAGCCACTTCTTGTTATGCCATGTACCCCTGTCTGGAGCTGCTCAGACTTACCCAGGGAAAGCAGAACCCTGCTGGCCCTGCCAGGGCTTGCTATGAATCTGGCAAAATCCAACACCTACGCTGATGCCTGTGTTAGGTGTTACAGCAGCTGCTGCCATTCTTTGCCTTTGGCCCTGAATAAAACACATCCTTAGCTATGCTGGTGATGCATCCACCCAGTGGCAAGTAAGCCTGCAGCCTGCCGTAGCCTACGGCACCAGTGCCCTGAATTATAATGCAGCATAGGATCAGGCAGTGAAGTAGGAGAGCAAAAGGGATCTAAGCCCTCCTCCCTGCAGGTGTAAGCATGCAGTGGACCAAATTATTACCTAGGTCAGGGGCCTCAGACATTCTTTGTAAGCAAACCGTACCTGCTCCTGCCAGAGAGGAGCTGATTCAGGTCCCAGGGAAGCTAAGCAGGGGATTTGTACCACTGGTGATGAAAATCTGGGTTCTTAGTGGTGCAGGAACCTATAAAGACAAGAAAAGGAAGGTGCAAGTGCTGCCAATCTGCTGGAGGGGAGCCCCTTCCCTGCCTGCTGCGAGATACTGCCCAAAAAGACTGACCATGGCCCAGGAGCCCACCCACAGGCCTGAGCCTCCTATCTGCAGTGAAGCGGGGACACCCACTCCAGGTGCACCCCCAGGTACCTGTTGATCATGGCCCTTCCATCAGGAAGCCCTGGACTACCTGCCTTCCCTGCAGAGCTACTGTTCTGCATTGCTGTCTGGGCCAAGAACATGGCAGGTCTGCCCTGAGCCACAGGATTGCTTTTTCACTGCTCCAGCACCAAGGACCTGTGAAGACTTGAAACAGTCCTATGCCAGGCAGATTCTCCACTACTCATTTCTCACTTTTCAGCCAGAAAATCCATCTCAGCCTCAAGGAAACTTTGGGAGGGAAAGGTTCAGACTTGCAAAATGTTCCAGGTATGGTGAACTGTCTCTTCCAGCAAATTCATTGTTCCCCTGAAGAGGCTGAGGTCTGTGACAGCAGCTCCAATAGCATCATGAGGGACAAAGAAGGGCATCCAGACTGGAGGCCAGTGTAGTGACAACCCATGCCTTTGTGAGGTGCATGAATGGGGGCTGCACACCTGATTTTCTCCCCCAGCATTCACATTTGACCTCTGCCCACAAAGACTCTTCAAAGGAGGATGAGATCCTGCAATTCAATTGCTTTGCAGAGGCCTCCAGAGATCCTAGCTGTTAAGGTGTTTAGGTGTAGTCAGCATGGATTTGCGAAAAGGAAATCATACTTGAGCAATCTGACAGCCTTCTTTGATGAGATGATTGGCTTGATGGATGAGGGGAAAGCATTGGACGTTGTTTATCTCGGCTTTAGCAAGGCTTTTGACTGTCTTCCGTAGTATTCTCAGAGACAATCTGATAAAGACTAGACAAGTGGTCAGTGAGGTGGACTGAAAATCGGCTGAACTGCTGGGCTCAGAGGGTTACGATCAGTGGCACAAAGTCCAGCTGCAGGCCAGTAGCTAGTGGTGCCCCCAGGGATAAATACTGGGGCCAATACTGTTTAACCTCTTCATCAGTGACCTGGATGAAGGGACAGAGTGCTTCCTCAGCATGTTTGCTGATGATACAAAACTGGGAGGAGTGGTTAATACACCAGAGGGCTGTGCTGCCATTCAGAGGGACCTCGACAGTCTGGAGAAATGGGTGGAGAGAAACCTCATAAAGTACAATAAACGGAAGTGTGAAGTCCTGCACCTAGGAAGGAATAACCCCTTGCATCAGTACAGGCTGAGGACCAACGAGCTGGAAAGCAGCTTTACAAGAAAGGACGTGGGAGTTCTGGTGAACACAAAGTTGAACATGGGCCAGCAATGCACCCTCGTGGCAAAGAAGGCCAACAGCATCCTGGGCTGCATTAGGCAGAGCATTGGCAGCAGGTGGACAGAGGTGATCCTTCCTCTCTACTTAGCACTGGTGAGGCTACTTCTGGAGTGCTGTGTCCAATTCCAGGTTCCCTAGTACAAGAGAGACATTAATTTACTGGATTGAGTCCAGCAAAAGGCCACAAAGATGATGAAGGGACTGGAACATCTCTCATATGAGGAGAGGCTGAGAGAGCTGGAACTGTTTAACCTGGAGAAAAGAAGGCCTGGGGGGACCTTAGCAATGTTTGTAAATATCCAAAGGGAGGGAGTAAAGAGGATGGAGCCAGACACTTTGAGGTACCCAGGGCCAGGACAATAGGCAATGGACACAAACTGAAATATAGGAATTCCTGCTTAAGCATAAGAAAAAACTTCTTTACTGTAAGGATGATCAAATACTGGAATAGGTTGACCAGAGAGGTTATTCTTGGAGACAGTCAAAACCTGACTGGATGTGGTCCTGGGCTGCCTGCTCTAGCTGACCTTGCTTTAAGCAGGGGGTTGGAGTAGACAATCTCCAGTGGTGCCTTCCAGCTTCAACAACTCTGTGATTCTGGATTAAGCCAGTCATGGTAGGATTGGTAGAGGCACAGTGCTTCAGGTAGCACAGATCCCACAGTCCTGCCACCGTTCAGCTCCTTGTACTGAAGTTTATCAAACCTCTGCATCCACCACATAACAGTACGAGTATGTCTCGGAGTCTGCCCTTTTTTTTTTTTTTTCCCAGAATTGCATAACCTTAAGCAAACATTGCATCTTTTATATACAGACTTACAGGGAAAATCCCTCCTGTTGTTTAGATTAATATAGATGAATAGCTCTCTCCTCTCTGGCCATTCCACTTGCCGCATTTTGGTTTCCTTTTGATTTGATAAAATCAGAAATAAGCTGCTGAGTCAGAGCTCTACATACTTGGCTCAAATGTGAACCATATCCCTTTCTTTTTTCTTTCTTTTTTTTTTTTTTTGCTCTTTCACTTTCATTTTCTGACATCATTTTGGAATTTCCAGTTGGGATTCTCCCTGCTGACTTCAGGACTCCCTATTAAAAGGGAGCTGAATCCAGATGCTGCAGTCCGAGCTGCATCTGCCGGATCTTCTGGACCAGCTCTGATTATCTTTGTCCAACAGGAAGATGAAGATCTCTGTAGCTCTTTTTACTGCTCTTCTCATTGCTGCCTCTTGCTCTCAGACCTTCTCTACCCCAGGTGAGTCCTGCCTCTTTCATTTGTGGAGGAAGAACCGATTAGAGCCTTCGTTACCACTTCTGCATTGAGCTCCCCTGGCAGTTAACTGGTGGTGCTTCAGCATTTGTTACACTCTCCACTCTGCACTGAGATCAACTACACTTACAAACCCCAGAATTAGGAAGTCGTCCATCCATCTGTAATCTGTCCACCTGTCCAGCCATCTGGAGCTCAAAATTCTTATGCTTATTCCTGGTTATAGTTTAGGGACTTCAGTCTCCTGTCCTGGGGCTGGGGGAGGTGGGAAGTGAAGGTCTGAGCAATGACTGAATGGGAATCTCTCGCAGTACCTGCCTTCCCTGATGACGCTGCTGCTCGCATTGGATCAGATGACCTCTGACATTCCTTCCAACCTTAATTAGTTTGCAATTCCTCACTCCTTCCCCTGCCAGCACTGCTCCTGGTACAAAGCCCAACTTGTGCTCATGTTGTCTCTCCCTGCCTCTTCCAGCGGGATCTGATCTCTCAAACTGCTGCTTCTCTTATACGACCCGCAAGCTCCCGAAGAGACTCATCTTGCGTTATTTCAGCACCAGCAGCAAGTGCTCCCGGCCGGGCATCATGTAAGTACCAACTCTGACTCCTGGGTGCAGAAAAAAGTGCCGGTGTGGGGACAGCTGCCTTGGGTATACTTGTATGAGTGACTGGCTGTGGTGCCCTGGGCTCTGCAGCATGGCTGTGGGTGAGGGGGGTCTGTAGGAACAGATTAAATGACATATCACCTGTGAGCAGGACATCTGGCAACTCGGGGGAAAGGGATTGAATAGGGACTCCCAGGAGGACTTGTGCAGGGATTTTCTGCAGAACTTGAGAAAGCATTGTGGGAAGAGGGGTGGAAATGGGGAAATCTCAGCTAGGCACTGGTTTTAGCATGAGCTTAGGGCACAGGGGAGAACCTCCTGCAATGCCCTGAACCAAATGGCTCTCTTACGTTCCAGGTCTGAGGAGAGATCTAACATCTCTCATTCATGCTCCACAGGTTTATCACAAAGAAAGGCCACCAAGTCTGTGCCAATCCCAGTGACACCTGGGTTCTAAGTTATCTGCAAAACTTGAAGCAGAACTGAGAGAAGCAAGATGGTAACTGTAGCTGCTGTCATGAATGAGCCACGTTATCCCAAGCTCCTGTGATGGGGCAGGATGCTGGCGTGGAAGGAGCTGTGCAAGCCCATGTCATCTGTATGCAGCTCCAAGAGGACTGTAGGAGGGGGCCCACGAGAGACCCTGGGCTGAGGTATTGCTACTTGCCCTCTGCTTGCACAGGCCAGCCTGCACCCCAACTTGTCACTGCCCTGATGCCCCCACCTGAGGACTGAGAGGGTCAATGGGACTGCGCCTCTACTGTCAGTTTATTTTAAATTATGTAAGAAATAATACTACTGTATAGGCAGTGTTTTCTTCTGTGGGTAATGATGTTATTTATGGGAGGGTGGCAGGGAGGTTTATGGAAGGGTGGCTCCGATTCTCAGCACTGGGTGGTGAGGGGCCCTGGCTCTCCATGTGTGAAATCATCATTCTGGAGAATAAACAATTTGGATAAAACCTCTGTTTTTTTACCTTTATGTCCCTCTATGCACTATTCACCTGGCACAGAGACAGAACCTGACACAGAGCCAATCTACCCTATATGGCATGTAATAATAGGAAATGGTTTGAGGCAACACCATAAAATTTCCACACTGCAGACATAAAGATATCCTCAGGCATACATTCCCTGACATGTACCCACACAGCCCTGGCATCCTTTACAGAAGTACACACGCTCATACATATACATGGGCTTTATACATACATGGATGTGCTCCCTACACACCCCCATGCACATTCCATGTTCTCACCTGCTCTGCCAAGCCTCAGCGTGCTGCACCCCTGAGTTGGTCCCTTTCCCACACTGTGTGCGCAACAGGGGCAGTGAATAGCCACACTGTTCTAAGGACAAAGGGATAAAATCCCTTTGTTTGGGAGAATCTGTCTGATGAGTGCAAGCAGAAGGCAGGAACTGAGAAACGCTCCTCCTGTACTAGGGCTTCCCTGGGATCTGGCAGGTTCCCTGGGCACGTGAGCTGCCTGTCTCCCTTGAGCCAAGGGTGTTGGGAGGATGGAGCAGGACCAATTACCTCCCCAGAAACCTCTCCTTCTAACTATTTCTGCCAGCTTAGAAGCAGTAGTCACCCATACACACACCTTTGGTAACCCCAGAGCAGCTTTCCCTCCCACATATCTGTTCCTGTGAGATGTTGTTGCATCTGCGCTCACCAGCCCTGAGGTTCATTTGGGCCTGGCCAAACCAGGAAGTTGCAGCAGTGCTGCCTAATGAGAAGAGCAGGGTGACTGGCTCTGTTTCTGACCACTCCAATGGGGTGGTTGTTCCTCACTTTCTCCATCAGTAAAACGAAGGAAAGGGTTTAGCTGCGCTGCTGGGATGAAACAGCCACGAGCAAACTGCCTCTCTTGGCTGTCATTCCTGGGACACAGCTCTGCATGGCAGCATGAACGGGACCAAGCAGGTAACAATTGTTAAAGCACAACACTGGGCAGATCTTGCTGTCTAGCCAGTTTTCTTGCAATTACACCAGCACTACTCTGCTTCTGCACACTGAGAAGAAATGCCCCCAACAGCACTGCTACCCAGAGGCAACGTGACCTTGCAGCGTTCCTCTCTGCACACCATCCTCTCTGCTCCAGATGATATTTCTACATCTTAATGTAAACATTTTCTTTCTCTTAGTGTTTCACTTTTTCCTGTAGCTACAGACCAGACTTGGCAACCCTGACACTGGGAAAGCACCTTGCTGTCACCCATGACTTCTTTCTAGGCTTGTGTTTTCCCAGCCTGAAACATCAGCCACAGGAAGAGCTGGCTCCCGCCCTTGCTGGCAGGGTGACCCTGGCCCTGGATCCCAGACTTCCAGCATTCTTCAACTGGTGGCTCAGCCCTTCCCTTCCTGCTCCCCTTTGGCTAGGAATACAAAGGACATACTAGTCCATTTGGACTGAAAGGGAGGGCCCAGCTCCAGGACTGAGGCATTGAAACTGGAGGGACGGAGATGCTCACACTGTGACTGGGTTAACTGGTGATCTTATTTAGTGCTTCTGAATCCAGAAGTGGGTCCTTGAATTTTTCTGGCACAGCCTTTCCCTATCGCATCACCTTTCCTGTGCTGAGTTCTTCCCTTAGCTGTTAACATGGTAGCAGAGTGTGGAACCCAAGAAGATGTCCCCAAGGTAGCAACCCTGAGTTGTACATTATAGGATGAACCTCACCACAGACAACTTGTGTAGCATGCAGATTTTAATCAATAGCTTATGGAGTCTAAGTGCTTTTCCTATTGGGATCCATAATGAGCATTTACACTTGTGCCTTACAATCCTGTGTCAGGGGGGTCTCTCTGAAGGTGTAGGCGCCTGAAATAGCAGATGTGCCTGGGCTGATGGCTGTGCACATGCAGCAGGAAAGGGGTCTGCGACATGGGGAGTGGTGCTGAGTGTGGCTACAGGGAGGGGAGGGGATCCTGCACAGGGTTAGTCGGGCCTTTCACTGCCAGGCTTGTGACTGCATGTGCACACAGGAATGGCTGGGAACCACCATAGCCTGTCTGCACACGTGCAGGCAGAGAGGTGGCATGTCCCTCTTGAGCTCTACATCTATGTAGGGCTATCTCAGAGGGATGAAGCTGTTCCTTCTGCAGAAGGACAAGAGGCACTAACAAGACCCCACTGCCAGGCAGGCGAAGCAGGTAAAAGCAGGCGAAGCAGGACGTAAAAATGTATGCTCTATGAGCACTGCTCCCTCAAAAGAGAAGCACCAAACCCGTCAGCTTCGGGGACGAGGTGTAAGAGAGGCAGGTCGGGGCTCAGTCAGAAGGGCAGTGAGGAGATGAGGCTGTGACACAGGGCCCTGCAATATTGGCGCAAATACATAGCTTAGCCAGAGCAATAGGTGATCCACTACCACAAATGCAATGCAGGAGCGCCAATAAATAAGCTTCCCCCCCGGCTCCGAGAACGGGACGTCCCTTGGCAAATTCCAGCTGAGCTTTCGGTCCCTGGCAAAGGACAAGTGTCTGCAAGTGTGTTGCTGGCCTGCCCCAAAATGCTGCCTTCGTGTGTTTGTGACAACCCTGCAGTGCCAGGCACGGCTGCTCCCCGCTCTGCATCGCTCAGTTTCGCTCCAGGTCATTCACGTAGTTTTGAACCCAGAAGTCCTCAGGGTTGGCACAGACCGCACGGCCCTTTCTTGTGAAAAACCTGTCGGGGACAAAACATCCCTGTCTTGTAAGGCGGGGAAGGAAAGACGAGGGCCTTGTGGCTCTGCCCTCCCTGAGCCCAGCAAAGCCCATATGTGCTGGTAGAGCCAGCCAAATTGGAGGGCTCCCCTGCCACAGACTCAGAGCTTGCCCCGGCCAGTGGGATTCCCAGCTGCACCTGTGGCCCCACAGCCCTGCACCCCACCAGGCAGTGGGCAGCATCCTGGGCCCAGCTCAGGACCATGTGGGCATCACCCAGGGCTTTCCCAGTGCCCAGCAGCTCCTTTGCAGCCACACAGGGATGGCTCCTTCCCTCCCTGTCACGAACAGGACTTGGGGAAGCCGCAGGCTCTTGCCAACCTCCGGTGGGGTCCCACAGCCCTCGGTTGGCACAGCCCTGGCCTGGCACTGCCAGTGGGAACACGGGGGTGGGGTGTCTCCTGCAGCACCGCACGTCCTCCCTGTCCCTGGAGATGGCACAGGGAGGGGGATGCTGTTAGGGGAGAGCCCTGATTCACCCCGAGACGATGAGGTCTCAGCGTGGAGATGGCAATGCAGAGCAGGGCAAGGGCAGCCATGGGGACCTGCACGGCACATCAGGCAAGGAGCAGCAGGCACAGCAGGACCACAGCAGTGCCTCCTGGCACACTGTCTCTGTCTGGCGCTGCCTCACAGTGCTCGCTGTGTTAGAGCAGCCACGGGGCAGCGAGGAAAACCCGGGGAGGGGAGCTTATGGGTGCCTCGTGAATGGTAGTCGCTGCTGGAGCTGGGTGCAAAAATATCTGGAGAAACCGCAGGCTCTGAGTTGTTAAGTTTGGCGCCTGTTGCAGAGAAGAGTCAGGCAGCAGAAGGGGGAAATGTGCCCTGGGGTGTGCCAGGGAGTCCGTCATCTTGGGGGCAGCAGATAGTGCCTGAGGGCTCCAGGCAGGTTGACCTTGCAGTGGGGGGAATGACATGCCCCCATTTGTGCGACCAAGAGTTCCATGTCAGAGCCTCCCATGACTGCAGGTGCCTTCTAGCATTTGTGTGAGAGCAGGTCCCTCTCCACTCCCTGGTCAGGGGGAAATCCCCTCACCAGCAGCTCTCTGCTTCTGCCTCCTACATTCCATCCCACACCAAATCCACACCAGCAGCTGCGTTTGCCCAGCATCTCTGGAAGAAGACAGTAATTCTAATTTCAGACTAGCGAACAAGACCTCCCAGGAAAGGATTCTCCTTCTTGACTTATCCTCATGTGTTTTAGGATGAATTTGGACGTCATGAGCTCCATTTTGAAAGCAAAAGCACTAAGGTTTTGTTGTTTCAAGGTCCCTGACTACCACCCCTGGAGACACCTACAAACAGCCCCCAGGGTGGCAGCCACTCAGGGAGGAGAGATCAGAGTGTGCCTCCTGCCCGTGTTGCCCCCGTGCTCCTACCCTGTGCATGTCCCAGATCCACCACAGGAGCAAGGACCCCTGGATGCCACGGTCTCCTGTAATTGCACTGTTCCCAAGACGTTTTCATCATCTGAGAGCTGCTACTAGCTGTGGGCCATGTTGTCCCAAGGTCTGCATACCTGTTTCCTCAAGACCTGAGACCTTGGAAAAGAGATTGAGCTGGGGCCCTCCTAATCCCTACCTCAGCAATCCTTTGGGGAGGCATGCTGAATCTGTTGAGGATTGCTGTCATACTGGTGAATGTCACTGTGAACCTGCTGCTCAAGGGCTGTCTCACATCCTGTCTTGGTCAGTATAACCCTCACTTGGGTGCTGATTTGTTCAAATTTACCTCACTGCGCACAAGGACTTTTCTGGTATTTCCTAGACCTGCTGCTTCCTTTTTTCAATGTCTCTGAGGCAAAGGTGCCATGACATCAGCTCCATGACGCTTTGGAAAACCCAAGTGCTTTGCCTTGAAATCTAACTTTCTGGGCTGGCTAACATCCCTATAAAAAGTGAGGACTGTCTAGCCACCTATCATCAGACACAGAAGAAATCTGCTCTGGTCGTACCTCTTCTCTTGCAACTCATCCCTTCCCATGATGAATATCTCTGCAGTGTCCCTCTCTGTCCTCCTCATCGCTGCCCTCTTTTCTCAGGCCTCTTCAGGTCCAAGTAAGTACAGTTTCTCTCTCTGTTCTTCTAGGGGTAGATTTTGTTCTGATAGGCAGTAATCTTGAAGCAGAGCTGGAAAAGGTGAGCTGCAAAGGTTGGAAACTTGAGTACTTGTACTTGAGTACATAGCTTTTCCTGCTTTCTTGGGATTAATCTTCCCTTCTAGCATGCTTTTCTCTTGGGAAGGAGATAACAAATTTTAACTTATGAACGTCAAAGTTTTTAGCTTTGATCCTGTGATTTTACTGATTGTCTTTAAGAGTGGTCCTAGGGTGACTGAGGGGATTTTTGCCACTGGAAGTGGGGAGGGGAGGGTTGCAGAAAGTTTAACAAGACACCCTCGCAGTGAGCTTAATTAAGCTTTGGTGTTCACAGTAATTTCTTGCTGACATTCTGGGGGAATAGGCTCTTTCTGGAAAGAGAAGAGGGCTCCACAGTTAATTTCAGGGGATGGTTGTCCGTGATCTTGGCTGGGGAGTGTGCATGTTATTTCCTTGCCATGAGTAATGAACTCATGCTGACCTTCCCAATCCCTTCCAGTTGGTGCTGACACCACTGTGTGCTGCTTCAGCTATGCTTCACGAAAGCTCCCCCAGAGTCATGTGAAGGATTATTTCTACACCAGCAGCAAGTGCTCACAGCCAGCAGTTGTGTAAGTACTGGTTCCTGTCCTGGACTCTGGGTGAAAGGCTTTGCCAGCCTTTGGGCTCTATCCCAAAGTTGCTCCATGTCCCCCAAGGCTAGGATTGTGGCAGTGTGGGGAACCATGTCTGGAATAAGGAAAGGGGGCAGCCAGCTCGGGTGTCCTGTGCAGCACATGAGCAATCCTCCTCCCTGGCTGAGAAACAAGGCCGTTCTGGTGGTAGAATAAGGTGTAGGGAGAAAGGGAGCCAGCAGGACCTTCTCATGACAATGCAATGAGCCCAATGCAAATAATGTGCCACTTGCTAGATTTGCATCTGATGTAGACTAAGGGTCCTCAGGCCAACAGATACTTGCTCCAGAAATACTAACCACCCACATACTGCATCCAGGCTCATCTCCACACTGGACAAGGCCAGGAATGTTTGAGCATGGGCAGTGTCTCCCAAGAGACCTTCCTGACCTCTGGGTTTTAGCAGACTCTAGCATTCCCCTGGGAGCTTGGGGAAGGGGTTTGGGCAATGGGAGTGTAAAGGGGAGATCATCCCCTCAGGAGCTGGCCCCAGTAGCTGGACAGGTTAGTGAGCACTCAGGAGGTGATCCAAGGCCCTGGATGCCAGTTCAGCGTGTGCCTTCCGCCTCTGGGGCAGTAACACCTCCCTGCCTCTCTTCACAGGTTCATCACCAGGAAGAACCGGCAGGTCTGTGCTAACCCTGATGCCAGGTGGGTGAAGGAATATGTGAACTTCCTGGAGCTGCAGTGAGGGCTGGGAGCTCAGAGAACTCTGCCCCTGAAAGTAAGTCCTGCAAGATTGTCCATCAAAATCATCGCTTGGGCCTAGAAATGCTACTGCTGAGCACCAAGGCCAAAAGTCACCTCAGAGCCTTTGAAGTTCCTTTGGTCTTGCAAAGACATCATTTCTCCATTGCAATTTAGCCACCTTTGTGGGCAGCTGCAACACTGGAGACCTCCTGACCTTGCAAACGTGCCTTGTTGTAGCCTGCTGTGTGACCTGTGGTGAAACTCTGTCCCTTCCTTGTGCCCCCGCTGCTAGAAGGGGAGGGAGACTCTTATCTTGAGAGCTATTTGTGAGAAGTGGTCTGTTAAAGCTAGGCATGAATGCTGTTTTGTAAAGCCAGAATGACATCTGAGTCAGCTGGCTGAATTTCACCATGTACGATAGATGTTGTCAGTGAGGTCTCTCTCCTTAATGGAGGAAATGGTGTGCTGGTTATTTACTGGATGTTCATTGTGGAACCACATCATTCAGCCTTGTTGTCAAAACGCTGTGTCTTGCTGGTGCCGGAGAATAAAGATTCTCATCTCTCTGTGTTGTCTAGCAGAGGCTGCTCACTTTCTGCCCAACCCCAGAGGAAGATAGGGAACACATGGTCCTTTGTAGGGGTTGGGATGTGGAGAGACCTTTCTGCTGCGTAGTCCAACACCATACCCTGGAGCTGGTGCTGAAGGCATGGGTGAAATAGCACTCAACTACAACCATTTTGGGAGAGGCAAGGGAAGAACCCTGGCTCCCCACCTAGAAATCCCTCAGCCTCCCTCGCCCTCAAAATCTTCCCTTCTGCGTCACCTCCACACTCCCTAGCATCACACCAGCAGCAATGTCACTGCCCCAGCACCTCCCAGGGTCCAGTCAATCCAACAGCACTGCAGCCTCCCAGCCCCAACCCTGTTACAGACCTGGCCCTCTCTCCACCCTTTTCCCCCTCTGTCATATCAACAGTGAAGGCCAGGAGCTCATGGGACCAGTCCCACTGGACTCACAGATGCTGCAAGGTTGGCAAAGGGATGTGTGTGGAAATGCTGCCCAGGCAGTTGGAGGCTGCACAGCCCAGAGGGTTTCACTTCGTGGTGAGATTAGCCAGACAGACCCTCAGACAGCAGATGCAGCTCTGCAGGTGTCAGGCTGCAGGGAGTGCCTGGGGCCTCTCTGTGGGGCCTGGGCTGACAGTCAGCTCTCCTGTGTGAGGTGTGCTGTAGTTGACCAGTTGCGTCACCAGATAAAGGAGTTATGGGAGGAGGTTAGTAGGCTGCGTAGCATCCGAGAGGATGAGCGGGAGATTGACAGGGCGTTCTCGGAGACTGTTCAGCTCCGGGAGTCCCCTGCCCCCACTGCAGCGGAG